GGGCCTCCCTGGTGGCGCAGCGGTTGAGAGCTGGCTTGCGAAGCTGCCTGCGGCCTCTGCAGCGCCGGTTCAATCCCCGGCTGCTCCCCGGCCACTGGAGGAGGGTCCCACATGGCGTGCAGACCTGCCGCCCGCTGCTCCCCTCAGCAGTGTACTTCGGTCCTTCTGCCTGCTCTGCTCCCCGCTCTGGCTTGGTGAATTCTCTCACCCTCCCGCGCTTCTGACTGTACCCAGTGCTTGTATAAATAAATAAATAAATAAATCTTAAAAAAAAAGCTGTGATTCCATTAAATTGTTCTTAACAGAAAGCAACTGGAATCTTAAAAAAAAAAAGGAAAATTCAAGTTGAGATTTTAGTATATATGCCATTATCATTCTTCTTAAATTTCAAAATTACATTGGAGATATTTTCCATGACATGAAATATTTTATTAAAAATTGCTTTTAATGGATACACAGATTGTTCAAATGTAATCTTATGACTTTATCATGAATCACAATTAACTGAAAATTTCCTAAATCAATACATATTGTAAATTTATGTTATCTCAAAAAAATTATATCTGTAAGAGAAGTGAAGTAAAAGACTGAAAATAAAATATTTGAAATATTGGTCATTTAAAATCTATATTTTATATAATTAATTCTAAATTCCACTGTGTTATAATGCAACTTAGTGAATTTAGAAAAGGTCTGTAACTATAGGAGTTTCTTAAATTGGCTTCAGAATTTATATTCCCCCCCAGGTCATCTGGCTTTTTTCCTAGTTTAATGGAATTATTACAATGCAAATGTTCTTAAAAATAGTAAAGTTAACTGTCTCATTCTGCCAAGGAATTTCAAAAAAACTAGTTTTAGAACTCTGTTACTCATCTGCAATATGCTTATCAGAGAAGGCAGAAAATCCATTTATTAAACAAAAATTAAATGGCAGTCCCATGCAGGTGAGGAGATGTTATAAAATCCATGTCGCGGAAGTCTTTCCTCCTCATGTAGGTCATCTCTGAAAATTAATTCTCATTGCCTTATCTTCCCCCAATCCTCTGCTCTACAAGTTCCAACACAAATTTTACTTAAATAACTAATATGTGTTTACTCAAACTTGGCCAAAATTCACATATTAAATTATAACAAAAGACCTGTGTTTTCTCTGGATTTCCAATGTCCATTTACCCATAAATTTAACTATTTGTGCCATATTCTATATACACCATAATAACAAATATGTTCCTTCTTTAAATGATACCCAAATGTAACCATTTCTCAGCACCACTATTAACTCTTATCTAGACTTTTCTTTTGCATGCCATAGTCTATTACACTATTAAAAATGTAAATCTGATTATGTCACCCTTTGTACTTAAAAATCATTCAGAGAGATTCTAACAAAGGCAAATCCTTACTGTTATTGAAGTATATAATCATCTTCTAGTATTTTTCTGATGTAATAATTTCCTCCAAATCCTCTCTCCAAGTTTCATTCATTCTGGTCATTTTGTTATTATCAAGTAACATTGATCTGGTAATTTTGTTATTATAAAAACAGATAAATTTTGTGCTCCGGATTGGGACATCATCTGTTGTTGCCCTTAGTTATAAATGTTCTTTCCCCAAATATCTGCATGCAATCTACTGCAGTCATGTTCACTCAAAAGACACCTCTTCTGAAAGGCCATTCCTAGCAATAGTTTACACAGTAGCATACACCACACATACACACATACATACACACATTCATACATGTGGATGTGCACACACACATGCATGCACACACACATGCACACCATGCATATATCATGTGTTTTTCCTTGCTCTGACTTAATTTCCTTGAGACACTAATCAAAACATAGCAGTACATGATTTAATTATGTAATTTAATATATTTATTTTTTATTATACCCTACTGTGTTAGGTCTGTAAGGTTAAGGACTTTGTCTCTTTACTCAATGCTTATGCATGCTACCTAAAAGATTTCTTAGTATAACTTCCCGTATGTAAGCCTCATTTTCCTCGTCTACAAATCAGTGAGTTCAATTTTTAGGAGGCCTTTAATACTTGAAATTCTGAAATTATGATAGGTAGTTAAGAAAGACTTCTAAAAAAGAGAGTGTATGATTGAACAAGCATTTTACGTCCATCGATACGATGATTATGTGTAGGAAAGAGAATGGGTAGGTGTGTAAATGAACTGTTCCTAAGAAAATTAGTTTGGAAACTTTTAGAATAGATTTCATATTAAGTTTTTCAAATTCAAATTAGAATGGCAGCAGTGCAGGAAACTAATGTACTAAAATTAATTATGTGGTTTTTTTGTTTTGTTTTGTTTTAGTTTTTTTTGTTTGTTTGTTTTTTGTGGGACCCTCGCCGTTGGCCAGGGAACAAACCGGCGCTGCAGAGGCTGCGGGCAGACGCTGCACCACCAGGGGAGGCCCTAAAATTAATTCTGTGTTGACCTATATCTATATATGTATCTTTTACCTTTATCTTAATCTTCAGTTCATATATTACTTTTCTTGAGTTCCAGACTCAAGAAACACATTAAACACATTAAGAGTTTAATAGAGGACAAAAATGCAAAATAATAATAATAAATAATAATAATTGTCATTGGAGATATAAATACAATGAAGTTAAGTTTAAAACTAATATGAATAATATTTTTAATATTATATATCACTGAATTTATATGTAGTAACGACAATGTATGCTCATTTTACTATACATTTTTGTGCATCTGTTAGCATATAGAGGCTATCAGGAAATGCTGAATAGTAGCAAATGCAAAGGCAGGCTGCATATTTCTGCTCTAATCTATTTTCAAAATGATATGCAAAATCACTTCTACTAAATATTGCTTAAATTGATGATGTAGTCTCAATATTGAATTTTGTAGGATTTCTACTTATCACAGCAGATTCAAATTTTAATCTTTGGTTTAGAACAACTCCTTAAAAGCATACAGTTCATCAACATCCTATTGGGTAAATATTTGATAAATCTTAATCACCTGAATTTTTCCATTAGGAGCTATTTATAACTATAGCTTTAATTTTGGAATAAGTCTATCTAAGCAAATTGGGCATACAATACATACACATATAAGCATTCTGGCTTTTAGTTTACTTGATTTATTTTGGATCAAAGCATACTTCCAGGGGAAGCTCCTGTGTTATTGATATGACTATCAAAAGAAAAGACAATCAGTGCATTTTGGAAGATGAATAAGTTATGACAAAATTAAGAAGCTGAGACAGTTATTTTCAAGTATTGCATCCAAAATGGAAATTTCAGCTTACACCTCAAATATGTAGGTGAAGCATGGTGGTGAACCTTTTGAATATTAGAAAGACAATATTAAGAATTAATTTAAGTAATAATACCTCACTCTACAAAATGAATATTGCCTAAGAAGCTAAAATATATTTCATAATTAAGATTTAGTACCATACTGTAGTTTATCAGAGTCATTATACTTATATAACAACAATATATATTATTGAAAAGATGAAGTGAAAGTAGCTTTATACAAAAGATATTTCTATGTTTTGGGGAGAGAGTCAAAAATTGTTGTGCATTCAACATATAGAATCATTTAAAAGGAGACAGTCAATTTGCAGTCAGAATTTTATTTATAAAAATGGATTGAGGGCCTCCCTGGTGGCGCAGCAGGTTGAGCGCAGAGCTGTGAAGCTGTCCATAGCTTCTGCTGCATGGTTTCGATCCCCAGCTGTCCAGGGTGATACCCACATGGCACAGCAGACCTCTCCTGTTGCTCCTGCTGCTCCCCTCAGCAGTGCTTTCGTCTACCTGTTCTGCTCCTCCTGCTCTGTCTCTGGTGAATCCTCTCACCCTTCTGTGCCTCTGGCCTGTACCCCAGCTCTTGTACGCATAAATAAATCTTTAAAAAAATGGATTGAATATGAAAGATGATACATAACATTTCTTTTGCAATGAACTTTTGAATCATCAATACTTTCTTTGTCAACTCTACTCCAATTATCCATGTAAATGTGTCAAAGAAATTTCACTAATATTAATGACCACTTAGGATATGAACACATATTTTATGTAGAATGCAGAATCACAATGCTCTTCATCATCAAATACTCTTCACACTCAGAGTTTGGGATCTATTTCTCTAGCACCCTGGAGTCTTAGTTGACATTGTGACAACTCTGATCAATAGAGAGTGGCACAAGAGCTCTTTCAACATGTACCAGTATTCACTGAAGGATGTATCAGGGTTTACTGTGAACACAAGAACAGGAAGGTGCTCCAGGGAGAGAGTAAGCAACTGTATAAAGGGTCTGAAGTATTGCACTATGTATGGTATATTTAGGAATTGAGAACTAGCTCAGACTGGTTAAATAATTTCATTGAAGGAGTGAGAAGCAAAACTGAAACTGAATAGGTGGGCCTTTGCATGTATTGCCAGATGATAAAGAACTTTTTTTTTTTTTCATGGGCATTTAAATATTTTTATTTACATTGTTGAATATTGTTTTATAAAATATGTACTTTTTTGCAGCTTCTTAATTTCTTTTTTTATAATAAATTTTATTTTTATATTCCCCATACAATTGCAACCCCCTTATTTTGACCCCAATCCCTCCCCTCACACCCCCTACCCCCATCGAGTGTCTCTGGTTCATAGTTTTTTGTTGATTTTGATTTGATAAAGAACTTTTGATGCATGTTAGGAAGCTGCTGAAGGATTTCAATTAAACATCTGATCTCTAGCATACTCCGTTTTGAAAAAGCAAATTGAAAATAATATTCATGTTGGAATTCTGAAAGAAGTACTTATGGAAGCCATAGGGGAGTCATGGCAAAGATCTAAGGAAAAGATAATAAAGACAGTAGGAGTGTGTAGGAAGAGAAACATTCTAAACATGATTCAGAAGCATAAATAACAAGACTTACTAATTTATTTCATATCCATTAAACAAAGAATTTCTAAATTTAATTTACTCAATTATTTTATTCCTTTGGCTTGCTAGACTTCCATGTGGAAGAAAGTCAGAAGAGTACTCCAAAGTGTATGGTCAAGAAAATTGGAAACCACTTACGAGCTTGAGAAAACAATTTTGTCAGGTTGGTTTGAAATACCTTTCCTTCTTGACACTAGTATAATTCTCAGAATTCTCTCTCTCTCTCTCCCCCCCCCTTTCTTTCTCTCTCTCTTTGGTGTTTGACTCCTATTGCTTTGATAATGGCATAAAAATTCATACAAAGCTGAATATTCTCCAACCTTGAGAATGGGGTATATTATGTATTCTACTACATAAAAATATTATTGGACTTTACCATCTTTATATATTTTTAAGGGAATTTAAAATGATGAAATGAAAAAAAATATTGACTGACTTTGGAGAAAATATACTCATCTGGGATCCAACAGCATGTAACACAAGGCATATATATCTTTTCATTCTATCTCTAATTATTGGGTCCAAACCCTGATGATACAAAATATTCTAAAAGAATCCTGGAGACAGGTAGTTGGGAAAATGAAAGGATAGGAAAGAGACCCAAAAAGTAGAAAAATAGGAACAGATACTCCAAGTTCTAGAAAAAATTTGCAAAGAAGATATATCATATTGATATAGAACATACAAGAAAACACTTAGCATTCTCATGAAAGGATGATTGATCTAAGTGTAATTTCTTAAGACATCGAAATATATATTTTTGTTACATTGCTGACATAGTATGTCTATAGCATGAATTAGAATAGTGGCTCTCAACATGCCATATCCAGACCATCAGTATCACTGCATCTAGAATATTGTTACAAATTCAAATACTCAGTTTCTAAATCAAGACAATGAATCAGAAATTCTGGGAGCTGAACATTCTATATTTCAAAAAGTCCTATGGGGACCTCTCTGGTATAACAAGGACTTAAGACACAGCATGATGAAGCTGTCCATAGCCACCGCAGCACAAGTTCGATCCCCAGCCAGGGAGGTGACCCACATGGCACAGCAGACCTCTCCTGTCATGCCAGCTGCTCCTCTCAGCAGTGCATTTCAGTACATCTGCTTTTTCTGCTCCTCACTCTGTCTCTGGTGAATCCTCTCACCACCAGCATCTCTGGCCTGCACCCCAGCTCTTGTATGCATAAATAAATAAATCTTTAAAAAAAAGTCCTATGAGTGATTCTAATCTACACTATATAAGTACCATAGCTCTATAGACACCATACTCCTTGGTATAGCAAAGTGTATTTTGAAATCTATCAGATAGGTTCTACTGACAAGTCAAATTTTCCATGTCACTTTGAGCATGCACCTTAAAATCTTTGGCCTCAATGTTCTTTATAATGTGAAAGAGTTACCATTAGGGCCCTTATGAAATAAATGGGTGGGGTAAATTACTTTTATATTGTCGAAGAGGTAATTGAAGAGCTGTAAGACCCTGTATGATCAGCCTTCTCTCTACTAACTCTACTACTTCTCTGAATACACCTCTTAGACTCTCTTGTTTATCATTCCTTCAACCACACTGACTTTCTTGCTGTTTTTTAAATATTGCATTCACAATATTTTTTTAAATATTGCATTCACAACTTTTGGTTGTTCTTTTTTTCCTCAAATATTTATTTATGCATACAAGAGTTGGGGTACAGGCCAGAGGTTTGGGGTGTGTGTGAAAGGATTCACCAGAGATAGAGTGGGGAACAGAACAGGCAGATTGATGTAATCCACTGCTGAGGGGAGCTGCAGGTGAGTCCGGAGAGGTCTGCAGTACCATGTGGGTGTCTCCCTGGTGGGGGACTGAACTCACACTGCAGTGGCTGCAGACAGTCTCAGAGACTGCATCTCAAGCCCTTGCGCCACCAGGGAGGCCCCACAACTTTGGTTGTCCTAATTTTTCTGGAATGCTTTCTCTTAGAAAAACTGATAACAAAGTCACTTCCTTCAAATCTTTGTTCAGATGTCAGCTCCTTAAATAGATGACTATGTTTAAAATATAAATAAACCAAAACATTAGAAATGGGGAGAAAAAAGGACTGATATGTTGATTACCTCATTTCATATTATAACCCTCTACACTACCTATCCTCTTTTTACTGCTAGATGTTTTCAATTTTCCATAGGACTCATAAACTCTGAAATTACTGTGTAACTATTTATATTGATATTTATCTCTTTGTCTCCTTCCTCCAACCTATATAGTATGACAGTTTCAAGGACTTTTATTTTATTTTTCCACTGGAGTATTTAATTTTATAATAGTTCTAGGTTTTTCAAAGGAATGGATGAATATTGCCATAATAATATGAATAATATTTATATAATTCAAAATGATGTTTCAACCTTTTAGAAATTGGATTAATGCAGATATATTTAAGCTCTCAAACTGACCACTTAATAATGAATAATTAATGCAGCTTCATCTAAGTCTCTGGGATATACTTTTATGCAACACTTCACTTAATGAAATGCTAACACCCACTGAAATTTCCACTGCTATCAGTACTATAGAATGATATCTTAAATACTAAGGAACAGCAGATAGTGCTACATAAATATTGTCAGGGTACATAGAGTTACTAGATTTTTAATATAATTCTTTCCTTCCTTCCTTCTTTCCTTCCTCCCTCCCAGCCTCCCTCCATCGATCCTTGCTTCCTTCCTTTTCTCCAGAAAATATTCATTGACTACATTCTGTGCTACATCCATTTAATGCAATGTTAGAGCCATATTTTAACAAATGAATATATAAAATACTATTGTCTTTTGTAATATTCTGAGAGAAAAAAATAGAATGTAAGAACAGAAACTAAATGGAAGGTAACCAGAAACAATTGTCAGGAAGACACTTTGAGAGGTTTATTAGGGTTAACATGACAAAATGCCACAATTTGAATGGTTTGAACAATAGAAATGTACTAGTTCACATTTCTGGAGGCCAGAAGTCCAATCTCAGTGTTGGCAGCCTTGCTTCCTTCTGAGGGCTATAAAAGAGAATCTGTTTCATATTTCCTCCTGCCTGACTTCTGGTAGTTTTCTGCCAATTATCTGCACTCCTGACTTTCACCCCAAACTCTGCCTTCACATTCATATGACTTTCTCCTGGTATGCATATATATGTTCAAATTTTCCCTTTTGATTGGGGCCCCTATCTACTTGATGGAGTGCCTATTCCCACGGTGTCCATGCCTCTCCAGTATGACTTAATCCTAACTTATTAATTACATCTGCAATGACATATCCAAATAAAAATCATGTTCTGTGTTACTGAAGGTTAGAATTTCATCATATGAATTCATAAGGGGTACACAGCTAAACAATAAAATGAGACACAGGTGTTATGGACTCATCAGAGTATCTAGATTCCAGGAAGAGAAATCTCTGCACTGGACCATGTGCTTTAGTAGGCCCAAGTTGGTTCTCCCCTGTGCTTACCTTTGCCTCCAGGATAAGGAAGTCATGTAACAAAGAAGTTGTGTTCACCAGAGTATCATGACATCTTTTCTCAATCATATTCTGGGTATCTGGGATTGTGGGGTTTTTTTGTTTGTTTGTTTTGTTTTGTTTTTCTTTTGGTAGAAATATGCAAGTGCTTACAATTTGGAAGGAGAGATAAAGTAACTTCAAAACAGCCATTTTTCAGTTACTCAAGGCCAAGCTGACGAGTAAACAGAATGTATTGAAGAGAGCTCATATCTAATTGGTGAGTGCAGAAAATGTTTTGTTTTGAAAAGGGGTGAATGTTTTTATACAATAAAGGCTTTAAATTTGGAAATTCTTACTAAAATCAACATTAACATGTCTATTTGCCAAGAGACAATATATATTCATATATGATTTATATACATATAAGTGAAAATAACATCTTAGATTTCAGATATCTTTGAGGTATCATATATGTGAATACTACTTTTTAGCATATGCTCAATGAATCTTATAGTGACATGCAACCTAGTCAAGCAACAGGACCTTATGAAGGAAACATCAATTTATATACTTTCAGGAAGACTCAATGCTGAAACTCATTGATTTAGTTGATGACAAATTCATTGACTTAGTGTACCCTTCCAGGTTTCAGTGTCCTCATCTGCAAATAATTAAGAATGGAAAGACTAGTGGTGTAAATTTTCTTTACTTGGCACAGCTTTCAGGAAACTCAAATATGTAAAATCAGTAAAACATATTTTCACTCTAGTTAAACGTTAAAGGGTCGAAGGCTTCCTTCGACATCTATTAAGCACTAAATCAGACCTTTCTGTACTCACCTATCTTTTCAGTTAGTTATTCTGGTGGCACTTTTAAATATTTTCCTCTATCTTCATGCACATATACTGACAAATCCTTGTCTTACACTCATTCTGTGAACTTTCTGTCTCCAGTTATGGGGCTTTCCTGGTAAGTCATGAACAACCATAAGGGAAAACTTTGACTAGCTCAACATGGAAGACACTAGATTCATTTTCTCTTTCCTTTTCTTGGTGCAATCACTTACAGAATCTCTAAATGGATATTTTAATGAGAGAAAAGAAAATCAATTTTTCCTATGTCTTGTAGTAACCAGTTAAGCAATATAACCTCATATTAGGTCTCTTTCTTTTTCCCTAATTACTCAGACTTTTCTCACTCCTTCTCTCATGAATTATCCCTTTTGCTAGGTTAGCACACAAAAGTCTTTGCTTTAAACTCAATTTTCAGGGGCATTTAGAGTTAACAAAGACACTGAGTAATTTTACAAATCCAAACTATAGCTCTTTAGTAATACCTCTGAGAGAAAAATTTGGAATCAACCATCACTAAAATCTCATCATTAATAATATAGTAGCAAGCTAACTTGATACATAATAATGTGCATGTCTACTTATTAGCCCCTCTTCTACTAGAAGATAAATCATTAAGCTACAGGGTTTTTTTGTTTTGTTTTGTTTTGCTTTGTTTACTGCTATATTTCCAGTGATACTAACCATTCTCATTGTCATGCATTGACAATGAATTTAATTGGATCAGTGAGCATATGTTATATATTCTTTAGCTATGAACTCCATGGCTAAACATACAACTTCATCAAGAGAGAAACCCAAGTGTAAATGTTAGGTATCACAGACATTTATCTTAGCATCTGAAAAATTATTAGAACATGTCTTCACAACCTATCACCCCCAACTAATTACCAAATGTTATTTTAAGAACTTCATTGTTTTCAATCCCAAGGGAAGAATTTTTCTTCTTTTCTCCATTTTATTTTTCAATTAAAACATAAAAATGAAAAATCTTCAAGCTTACAAATAGATTTCTTTTGTGCTGTCAAGCAACAGACTCTTATGCTGCTAGTTATAATAGGACATGTGAAAAATAAATTAGTTTAACTGTGAATACTCCCTTGAGTGTTTCTAAAATGGCAATTTTATGTTTACAGGTCAAAATACTAGATAATGAGTTTTGGTCATATTTGTAAGGTTAGAATAATTTAGAACCAAAAATATCCCTTGCATTTCACAGCATACTATTTTAAAGATACTTAATTCAGTCCAAACTGCTTTTGAATTGTTGTATGATTCATACTAATGGGTAGAATATTAAACCTAGATGAAAATACTACAGATAAAATGAACTTAAGAATGCTTCAGACAATTTGGCCTCAACCAATTGAGTTTTAGGTATACAATTAGAACTTCACTTGGTGCTTTTTGGTAATTGAATATTAAATTGAATTACCCATAATAAAAATGTATGGACTGTTAGAGTGATTCAGTAAATTCTTTATGGAATCTCTACTATATGTCAAACATTGGCTATCTATCTTCAAGGAACACAATCTAGAGAAAGAGAAAACTTCAAGTAATATAGGCCCAAAGTACTCTGTGCATAAAATGGAAGAGGGAAAATATAGAGGGAAAGCTACTTATTCCTATTCAAATACTCTACTATCTTATCATTTCATTGGATTTACCTTAACATCTCATTCAGAGTAAAAATAAAAGTTCTTTAGTGGTTTTTATCAGGTCATCCTTACTTGGGTTTTATTTACTGTCTGTTTCCTTGTTTTATTGTGTTCAAGAAACACAGGTTTTCACTGAATTCTTTTGTAGATTCTATGTAGATTCTTCATTCTACTCCTGAATGTTTTTCCCCAAAGAGCCACATTTAGCTTCACTCTATACCCCAAGTATTTGCTGAAATGTAATCTTCTCCAGAGATCTATCCTAACCACCTTAATTAAAACTTCACCAGTCCTATACACCTTCTAATACTGTCTCATCTCTTTCTTCACTTTAAACTACAATATTACCTTCTAACATATTATGTATTTTGCTTACTTATTTCACTTACTGTCTTTCTATTACCAATAGAATATAAACTTTTAGAACCAGAATATTTTGTCTCCTTTGTTCTCTGATGTAATCCCACTATTCCTGGAACAAAAGAGTTAGTCAGTTAATATTTATTGAATGAATAAATGTGTGAATATAATTATAGGAACTGAAAAATTGAGTGAATGAATAATGAATGAAAGAATACAAAGATTTCTGAACTGGATTTGAAGTAATAGTTTTCAAACAGCAAAGAAATAAAAGCCTAACTGAAGTTGGGGAACTAAGCAGAGCTTGATAAATAGTTGCTATGTAGATGCAGATCACTCTGCTAATTAAATGGGCTACATGATCAGGTCTTTGCTTATAACTACACAGCAGCATTAGAAAGTTCAGAGGTAGGAAGACCAAGTACACTAAGGAATCAGATATGAGGCCCTGACACAGTGCAGGTAGAGTAGAGAAGTTTTGAGCATTTCTACGGAATAACTGACAATTGAAATTGTCTGGTGAATGACATGCTCACAGATACTTTACCCAAGTAGAACTTGCAACTCATGTTGCTGAAAATATGAATAATGGTCAGCAGAACTCTTTATGGGCTGCTAGGCTCCTTTATAATGAAAATAACCTTGAAATTAATATTAGTACATTAAGAACCCTGAAGATCTGATTCATTGCCCAAGTAGAGCAATTATAGTAACACTAATAGAGTCTATACCAGGTAAGGAAGTCTTCATTTATTGAATAATTAACAGTGGAGATAGGATATTTCCTCTTTTTTTTTTTAAGAGTTATTTATTTATGCAAGCACTGGGTACAGTTAGAAGTGCGAGAGGGTGAGAGAATTCACCAGAGCCAGAGCAGGGAGCAGAACAGGTAGACTGACGAAGTACACTGCTGAGGGGAGCAGCGGGCACGGCCGGAGAGGTCTGCGTGCCATGTGGGACCCTCATTGGTGGCCGGGGATCGAATCAGCACTGCAAAGGCTGTGGGCAGATTTGCAGCCCAGAGTTCAACACGCTGCCCCACTAGGTGAGGTCCCGGATATTTCCTCTTTTGATGCTGAAAAAGCTTTGCAAAGCAGGACCAGAGATAACAGTCCTGATCCATAATCTTGTGCAATTATTCCTTTGTCTTCTTCCCATATGAGACATAGATCAGGGAGTAGGGAAACGCCATTCTACAAATATCTAAGATACAAACAAATAGTCCCTTTAAAAATCTTTAGTTGGGGGGAAAAAAAATCTTTAGTTGGGGCCTCCATAGTGGTGCAAGGGTTTAAGATGCAACCTGTGAAGGTATACGCAGCCACTGAAGCACGAGTTCAATCCCTACCCAGGGAGCTACCCACATGGTGCAGCAGACCTCTCCTGACTTGCCCACTACTCCCCCCCTTAGCAGTGTATTTCAGTCAGTCTACCGCCTCTCTTCCCATTCTGTTTCTGGTGAATCCTCTCACCCCCCACACCTCCAGCCTATACCATGGTACTTGTATTCATAAATAAATCTTTTTAAAAAATCTTTAGTTGGGCATTTCATGTTTTAAGTTGTAGACCTATGAAAATTTACAAACTGTGCAGTACAAAATGCCATATATCCTTGCCTTTTTTTTTTTTAAGATTTATTTATTTATTTATACAAGCACTGGGTACAGTCAGAAGCACGGGAGAGAATTTACCAGAGCCAGAGTAGGGAACAGAACAGGCAGACTGACAAAATACCCTGCTGAGGGGAGCAGCAGGCATGGCAGGAGAGGTCTGCGCACCATGTGGGACCCTCACCGGCGGCCGGGGATCGAACCGGTACTGCAGAGGCTGTGGGCAGCTTCGCAGCCCAGCGCTCAACCGCTGCGCCACCAGGGGAGGCCCTATCCTTGCTTTTTTAAGAAGTTGAAACAATATAGGCAATATGTTGACTTTTTTTTTCCCCAACATGTAGATATCCTTGACGAAAAGTATCTATTGTGATTGAATGTTTTTCAGTCACAATTTAAGGGTAAGGAAGTTTAAAACTCTAATACATTTTTAGAGTCAGTTAGTGAAAGGGTCAGACTTTCCCTATCCATGGAAGTCAGAAAGAAAACAGTTTGTAAGTGATTTAGGAATCCCAGTCTGGATGAATGACTGCATGCTCACAGTGTGACTTCGGAAGTAGCAAATCATTAAAATAGGATTTTACAAAAGCTTTTCTACAGGAAACAAAGTTTGAAAAAAAAAAAAAGTCCATGCTTCATCTCTTGCTGTAGATTTATCACATGCATTAAACATTAATGTGTCTGAGAAATCATATGGGAGGTACCAAATAAAAATAAAGAAAGAATCCTTGGTTTCTTTATATTCGTATAACTGAAATTTGCCAAATTTATTTGGCAGAGGAACCATTGTTGTCATGT